AAAACAAAACAACCCCCTCCAAACCCCCCCCCCCAAAAAACACGTACAACCCCCACCTCAAAACAACAAAAAAAATTCTTAAGTTTTTTTTTCGTTTCTTTTTTAAATGGTCTCAACTGAGGTTATTTAGTATTTCTTCTGTGCCCATTTATTTTTTCCTTGCCTGATTCTTCCTTTTAAGACTATATGTCCTGCCTGCTCATAAACCTATACTGGATGATGTTGACCCAGAATATGGACTGCATGGCTACCAACTACACATTGACATGCACAGTGGTGGGCATACTTATGTGTGTTCTACATTTCGCAATCTGTTCTGCAGAAAAGGTAGAGTTAATGGAAATTGGAAGACTGTTTCATTTTAAAATGGTCCTTGCATGTAATTTTACCTTCTTCATGCCTAGTCTCTCATTTTCCTAAACCTTTACTAATGAACTTTTCATCCCTCTCTTACTTATGTCTGTGGATTTTTTTTTTTTTTTTTTTTTTTTTTTTTTTTTTTTTGACTACTGCTAGAGCATTGACAACTTAGATATCACAATGTATCTGTGGGGAAAAATATTGCATCTGTAAGAGAGAATTTCTCTTTAGCTTTTAAGACTCCTTTAAAATGTTTGACGTACAAAAAGAAGGATGCTTCTTAAAATAGAAGGTGTTGACAGATGCTATAGAGATATTGGTTTCAAATAGTAGTTGTATAATCTGTTCCAATGTAGCTGTTGTCTTTCCTTTTCTTATAGTAGTAGTCAAAAATGAAGCCAAACCTTTGCAACTTTTTAATTCTGTTGTCTTCTGGGTTAAAGTTACAGCGTGGTGTTTTTTTTTGTTTGTTTTTTGTTGTTGTTGTTTTTTTATTTATTTATTTTTGAGCTAACTTATGCTGTTTATAGGAGCATGGCCCTGTACCAGGTGTATTATAACAGCGTTACATCTGTCAGCAGTCCCAGGCTCATTTCAGTAGTTGCATTTTTAACATTTAAATTCAAATTACCTTGCACTTTTTATGTTGTATGCAGAAAGTAAACATTTCTAAACTTTAAAAATGTATATCTCTTTATAAGATGCATCTGTATTTAGCACTGTTTAAAATGCTACAAAAAATTTAGCATTGTATTGGAAAAATACAAAGCAGTATTACTGCTGCTTTTCGTTTTGCTGCATGTCTTGGTCTTTGGAGAAGACAGTAGAGGGCAGTAGAAGATAGTTGTGTTGCCATCAGAATTTCATACAGGTTTCAGAGGAGAGTTGCTAGGTACTTGTGAGATCTGAAGTGTGAGTGCTTGTATTTGGTGACACCTCAACCAGAATGTCATTAGGGTTGAGAACTTAACTAAAGTGTTAAGTGTATACTTTGGTCCTTGATTTGTATTCCCACAGCTGATTATGTAATAACACTTGATGCATTTGTTTTATTGTAGATCAAAGTCTATACATCGTTTTAATCAAATTGATCTTTATTGAATTTCAGCAGATCCTTAAGTACCTTCTCTGGAATATTAACTAATAGGCGTTGAGAGTATCTATTTAAACTTTTCCTATTTTCCATCTCTAGTCCATGTTCTTGTAGCTGTTTCCACAAACTGTGGAGAATATGTGAAGAAATGAAGATTTGTTTACGGAGCCACATACACTAAGAATCTTGGATTGCAGTCACTTTCCACTATTGGTTATTGGGAAGTGTCTCTTGAAGCTCTTGTCTTCAGATTCTAAAAATCCGTGGATTTCTCTTTTGAATGCTGCAAAATCTGTTTACTTGCAGATTTGTACTCTTTTGGCCATATACTTTTTTTCTTTTCTTGGTTGTCTCAAGTCTTTCAGTATTATCCTCTGCTGTTTTGGCTTGATGTTTTTTGTTTTGGCCCAAGGCATCTTATGGGACAGATTGTTTCATGTGTGTTAGGCCTTTTTCTAGGATTTTTTTTGGGGGGGGGGGGTTGTGTGGATTTTTTTTTTTACAAAATTTTCATGTAACTGATTTTGCACCAAATTTTATATTGACCTACACATTTTAAATAGCTTATTTGATTCTGGCAGAAATAAGTAAATTTTGCCATGGTGAGAGAACACTTTAAGGAGGTACAGTAGACTCCTGACTTGCACATGTTGTATTCCTGAGAAACCTCACGTATGTTGAATTCACGTGACTCGAGGTAAATTTTCCCATAGGAAATAATAGAAAAGTGAGGGGTTGTATTCCTTAAACCTCACACTTATGATACCAAAGGTACCAAAATGAAACCTTTTTCAACCAATATTTTATTTATTATGTTACAAAAACATATTGTAAATATATGCTGCTACCACAATGGCAACACTGAGACAGAGTGAGCCTCCAGAATCCTGCTTGGGAATCCAAGCTGCGCGTAACTCCGTTCGATGAAGTCTGCGCATCTCGCAAGGTGTTCGCGAATGATGCATGTCTTGGGGTGTATTTTTCTGCTTGGATGTTAATATTAATTTGCATAAATGTGACACACAGGCAAGTTGAATACGAATAAAACGGGGGTCTGCTGTACCTTTTGCTTGCAAAAATTGCACACTGCATCTTATAAGTTATCGTACAAATTTCAGTTTACTTTTACAACAAAGCCTATACTGGTTGGTTGGCAAATCAATGGTCAGGTTTGTTTTTTTTCCCCCACAAAATAAGTGCTGAATGGTAGTTAAGGAGCACAAGCCTAGTCTCCCCTTTCACTTCACGTCTTATTGCAGCTTTTTCATGTGAGCACTAACAAACCCATGTTCAGATCCTCACCCCCAGTTCTTCCTGAAAATCTGTTTAGCAGGGCACTAGGGATCAAAATCCTTCCTTCTTGTCTAGTTGACATCTACAAGACCCATCCCTCTGAATGACAGTTCAGCTCTGTTGCTGTGCCCTGCCTTTTGAACCCTTGTCTGTGTCTATACTTATGAAGTTTCCTGTTAGAGAGATGTTGTCCGAGTGGAACAAACGGCAGTTATGCCACTTCCAAGAGTAAAAATAATTTCTCTTGCTTTGTATAGCTGTGTGTCTACTGGAACTTATGCTGCTAAGGGACAAAAATGGTCAAAAAAGTCACACCCCCCATCTTATTTATATGGGTTCTAACAAAACTTGAAAGTGCCTCTCAGGCTTGAACATGTTTATTTCTTATTAGTGCCATTCCCTCTACCACCTTCACCAGATTCTGACTTGTGTCTGCTGTGTCTTGATCTACCCCTGTGCCTCTTGTTACTTAGCAGACATATCTGAAAGCTCACCTAAACATCTTGTCCTGAGTTTCTGGGCAAAAAGTTCCCTCCCCAGTGGCCACACCTTGTATTTTTATACATCATTTACTGTTCAAAACGTTTTAGCCCTGAAGTGCCACTAGCTTTCCTTGATCAGGGATGTGGGTGTTGGGGTGGAACTGCAATGAATAGCAGAGTGGCTACATTTTTTTTTTTTTCTCAAAGAGGGCTGAGAAGTGGATTGGGCTTTCATAAGCTAGAAGGCTGGTGGCTTAACAGGAAGTGAGAAGAAAGAAAATGCAGCCAGGAGAGGTCCTGAGCAGTAGTGGAGCCTTAATAAAAGCTGGAGCAACTCTCTATATGCAGCTGTAAATGACCTCCAGCTGGCTTGCAAACCGTAATCTTGGCAAGGGCTGAAGCATATAACCTATGAACTATGTGTTCTACTGTAATTGTGTGATTCAGACTTTCTCTTTTTTGAAGAAAAAGGGTAAAATTGTATTGGGAGTAGGAAGGTGCATTCATGGAAGTGTGGTCAGTGAGGGCAGTACCTTTTAAGAATGTTTCTGTAAGGCTGAAAAATCCCTGAAGAAGTTAAATCTCTATCAGTCTTTTGATCTTCCACAAAGAAAGAAGAAGTATAAAAATGGGTTTAGAAGTTCAGTTCATGACTAACTTTTTTTAAAACTAAATTCTTATTTGCAAAAAAATGAGTTGACAGATACAAATGAGAAGGTCAGAGAAATGATCAGAACTCTGTATCATCTTTTGATCAGGGCTGGCTTAGAATACAGCAGTCAATGTAAAGGGACTTGGTATTTGCAGAATAGCTTCCTAGGTGGTCCATCCACTGATGTGGTGATTGCTTTTGTAATATTAGTGATACCTTGAACTTCCTTCTTCTGTTTGCAGCATGGATCTCCCCAATTTATTCTGTTTTCATCAACTTATGATTTTGGTTTTGTGTGGATTTATGCATCATGGAATGACTGTTCTTGTTTGAATCTTATTTGCAGATAAGTAAATATCCCTTTGAGGAAAATGCTTGGTGATTGAGGCTTCTTTTAAAGTTCTATTTGTAAAAGCTCTGCTTAAAGCTAGGTATTTATGGCAATTTTCAGTTTTTTAATACTGGTTTTATGTAACCTAGGTTTGGAATTTTACTTTTTAGATGAGCATGATCCCAATACAACCCTTTGTAGCTGGAGTTATGTGGACAGGCCTTAGCTTCTTAAAAGACTCCAGCATTGGCTTTTGTTTCTGGTGAACAAATGCACTTTCTTCACCAGCAATAAGTAAGTAAATCAGATTACATTTGGCTTTTGCTGACTTAAGATGAAGAGTCCATTGGGGAGTTTGATGCCACAGAAAAGAGTTGACAACTTTTCTCTCTACTGGACAGAACCTACTTCAGGCTGGAGGAGAAAGAGGGTACCTCCACATAGGGTTCCTTGTAGGTGACTAATAGAGACCCAAACATGTTTACAATGGTAAAATAGCAAGGTCAGATGGAAGATCCACTGAGTTGGTCTTTCCCCAGCTGGTTTATGGAAGCGGTGTTTTGTGGAGACTGGTAGGGCAGTGCTTCCCAGATTTCCTCAGCGTGTCCCCTCACTTCTGCCCCACTGTTGCATTTAGAAAGCAGGTTTTTAAACCTAGTACCCCAAGAATTGACACAACACCCAGTTGATCAATAGGAGAAGGGCTTTAATAATAATGTCACAAGCAAGCTTATAAAAACCAAATGACAAAAAAAGACTCTTCAAAATAAAATGAACTACTCCACAAAGTCCTACTACATATTTAGCAGTAACAGTGTTCTCTCACTGATTCTGGTGAAGGAAGCTGGTCTAGTCTTGCAGCTTTCACCAACCAGGATCTGTTGCTGGTTAAGCTGGCTGCAGTGTGGCAGTGATCTGTCTCTGCTTCTCCTGGAGTGCACACTTTGCTGGCAAATTCTGTTAGTTCTTATACTGTTTAATTGTATAACTTCAAAGCACTTTTCCTTGATAGTTCACCGTTTTTTTAGTCCAAACAGGGAGGAAAAGGTGTTGATCATCATAGTGTAACTATTAATTGCCTGGCTCCTGTTCTTGCATTGTCTAAGTATAAAATGTGTGCATCTCTGCAGGCCCTGTAATAGTAGGTCAATTTACAGGTGATGGGCCTGAGCAGTCAGACAGGATACTTTAGAGGTGTCACCAAACCTGTCTTGGGATATTTGTATATCAACCAGGCACATTTGCAGTAGCTTGTACGGGTGATGGTTTGTTCTTTAAACTCCAAACATACATTGAATAGTTCAGACACTTTTAACACCCTATACCTTAGGATGTTTGTTGGGAGAAGTGCTGGTCATGTACAGGATATCTTTTCTGTAGTTTTTACAAGTTTCTCTTAAGATTAATATTTAGCTTTTTTGTTTCCTTTTAGTTGCTAGGTCAATTGAAATGCGTATGTAGCTTTCTTGCCTTTACTGGCTACACACACACACAGACACACACACACACACAGACAAACACACACGGTAAGTGTGTCAGTTCTCTGTTGACCATTTTCTTGATTTGACATAATGGAGCACAGAATAAAACCAATTGGGGTTGCTCTATTTTGTATGGTCCCAGCTGTCACTTTGCATTTTTGTTCAAGATGCATTGTTGTTTTAATTTGGTCACAAATGTTGTGTAGGCCTGGCTGAGCTGTTGCTGTACTCACCATCAACATTGCAACCCCCCACCCCTCCAATGTTGCTCACTCCTGACCTGCAGCCTCCTGGTCCTGGGAGTGAGTGGCACTGACAATGTGCAGTGCCCAAGCTCCAGCTGCTGCTTGCGGGAGATGGCAGCTGCTGTGGCTAATGCAGTGTGTGGAGCCTGGCTCCCATCCCTTCACCCCACCGTCCCCTCCCTTGTGGGTGGCATGGCCAGAGCAGGGTCAGTGGTGGGGGCGGAGGATGTAAGCTGCCTGCTGGAGGCTTGGGGCTCCCTGCTGGCCTTCCCCCTGGGGTCCGTAGCCTAGTGGGCTGGCCCTGGGATGCAAGGGAGCGCCACACTGGCATGGCTGCCAAGCTGAGGCACCCTCTGCCTACCCAGCAGCAGTGGGGGCACAACTCCATGCTGCTGCCACACCTCACCTTGGTGGCCATGATGGTGCGGTGTTCCCTCCTGCTCTGGGTCCCACCTGCTGCGCTGCAGAAGCAGCTCCTGCCTGGAGCTGGTCCAGCTCTGTTGCAGCTTTGTGCCCAGTTACGGGCACAGAAATCTCACAACCCCAACTGCTGAGGTTGTGATGCCACTTGAGGTTGTGACTCAGTTTGGGAACCTCTGTTTTACGGCATTCAGAACTTCCCCTTCTTAATTTAATCTGGCAGCAACCCTCAGGGAAGCAGTCAATCGTACACAAACACCTCCCCTCCCTTGAGTGGGTTCTCTCTTGGCTATAGTAGGGCCAGTTCCATCAGGAAAGCATAATTTAAACTGCTTTCTCTGCCAGCAAGAATGAATGGCGCCCTATGTTTGTACATGACTGAGGTGATGAACGGAGAGCCGCTCCTGACTTGCTTTTCTTGTGCTCACATAGTGAAGATGATTATCCTGCCTGCCTTCTCAGTGAACAACTTTCAACTGCTTTAGTATCTCTTGTATTTAAAGAGCTTTGTTTTATGGAAAATGTCCTATGAAAAGGCTCTTATTTTTAAATAACAAAAAACAAAAAAAAAGCCCTTACTTTCCTTGTCAGAGAATTAGTTCATTAAGACAAATGCCAAACTGTAATCGAACCTCAGAATTTACCACGCTTTTTTTTTATTTACTAGAAAAGGAAAAACTTCCCATAAAGAAAGGAAAAGAAAAGAAAATCTTTCCTTATGATTGGAAACAGTACCAAATTTAGGATAGATATTAGGTAATGTTGGCTTGCTCCACTTGCAACTAGTTTTGTATCGGATAGACAAAGTAGTTATGAAGCATCTTTGCCTTTTTTCCCCTGGTGTTAAATATGATACCTCTGTGATAACTGCAGGGTTGCGTGATTGGGTGACTTGATTGAATTATATCACTTGAGATTCCTATTTGCCTGTTTCTTGAAGCCACTGTGTGACTTTCAGACTTCTGTACTTGAATGAAACAAAAACCCCAAATTTTCTATCCATTCTTGTCTCCCAGAATCAAAGCGGTGTATGCCGACTTGATCTGTTTTCATAGCTAGGTGGTTATGAAAACTACTGGATACATGTCAGAGTTCCCTGTTGATCTGTAGAGGACAAATTCATGGCTTATAGAGATTGCAGCAGAGAAATAAGGACATACAAAGGATTTCTGGCCTAGTTTGATTTGTCATTACATAATGATAAATTTGTTAATCTTTTCAGATTACATTCAAAATGGATATTTGAAGATTATGGTTATAGGTTTAAAAGATAATGCACAGCACTTACCTCTGATTGGGAAAGTTGGATTTTTCTGGAAAACATCTGTACTTGAAGGCAATATAAAGGTAAATGAATAGGTTTTGTGGAAGAAAATAGTTATTTCAAAATGGAAGTAACACCTAATATGCGTATTTAAAATCGGATAGTTTTTGTTTGTGAGGAAATCACTTCAACTGAAAAAACCTCCTAAAATCCAGGTGTTAGAGGTCAAACGCTAACTTTGTTCAGTTGTGTCTAACAGTCGCTCTCTTTTGGCAGGACGGGCATGCAGAATTTCTAAAAGAGAGCCTTCTGTGAATTATAAACATGTTTGAATATGATTATGCATTTTTAATGTACTTACTTTTTTTTTCTACATGGGAAAGTGAGAAACTTCAAGCTCATTAATTGCCCATAATGTTGTTGCATTCTTTTTTGGACTGATTTTTTTTTTTTTTTTTTTTTTTTTTTTTTTTTTTTTTTTGTCTTTTCTGCTTTGTTGCCTTGAAGCAAGGTTTCTTTCTTTTTTTTCCCTCTGTCCCTTTAAAATGTCTATGAAATAGATTGACTCATTTTTTCCAGCTGTACATATAGAAAGAGTACAGTTTCTCCATTTGGTTTTATCAGTCAAACATTGTATTGGATAACCAAAAGCAGCTGAAGCTAGGAAGAACCAAAATAGATGTAAATCTGTTGGAAAGATTCTTAAAGCAATGACCATTCATAAGTCAGATCTGTAATGCTCAGTAGGTGTGATTTAAACAACTTTTTTTGGCGTTGGAAAAGCTTGTGTTGGGCCAGAATTTGTCAGTGTAGAGTCTGTCTCTAATCTATACAAAGCTTTTGATCAGCAACATTTGTGGGACGTTAGCACTGGCTCACGTGGCTTGTTAAATTGGAGCAGAAAAGGTCTTGGTGGAGTGGAATCTGGATGACTTTGCTTAAGGATATTCCTAGTGTCAAGGGACTTGAGGCCAAATGCCATAAAATGGTGGCACTTGTACTCAAGACTGCTAGTCAAATGGATCCATAAGACCATAACTGAGGTTGAAATTAATGATGCTAACATTAGACTCTATCTTAATTCTGCCTGTGTGTTTAAATACTGTTTACATCCATTTTATAATGCATAGCATCAGATGGATTAATAACTCCACCCCCTCAAAAAACCCCAAACAGAATTTTGTCTGTATATTCAGCTTTTACATGTTCTGGGGATTTTATTGTTATCATAAAGAAATAAATGCCCATGCTACCACTATGAGCAAAATTTGGGGGAATAGTCATGCATGTAATGCCAAAACAACCTGGATCATAGAAAAATTAGGGTTGGAAGGGACCGTAGGAGGTCATCTAGTCCAACCCCCTGGTCAAAGCAGGGCCATCCCGAACTACATCATCCCAGCCAAAACCTTTCGTCTCTCTGGGTAACCTGTTGCAGTGTTTTTCCTACCTTCCTAGTTGAATTTTTTTCCCTAATATCTAACATAAACTTCCTTTGCTACAACTTGAAGACTGTTGCTCCTTGTTCTGATAGACTGTTCTCAGTGGTGGCAGATATCTCCATCCTCTTTCAAACCTCCCTTCAGGTAGTTGAAGGCTACCATTAAACCCCTCTCCTCTTCTGCAAACTAAATAAACCCAGTTCCCTCAGCCTCTCTTGAAGTCATGTGCCCTAGCCCCCAAACCATTTATACTGCTGCCTGCTGGACTCTCTCCAATTTGTCCACATCCTTTCTGTAGTGGGGGACCCAAAACTGAACACAGTACTTCAGATGTGACCTCATAAGTGATAAGTAGAGGCAAATAATTACTTCCCTTGACCTGCTGGCAACACATCTACCAATGCAGCCCAATATGCTGTTAGCCACCTTGGCAACAAGGGCATACTGCTGGTTCATATTCGGCTTATTGTCCACTGTAACTCCCAGGTCCTCTTTCTGCAGAGTTGCTGTCCAGCCAGTCAGCCCCCAGCCTGTACCAGTACGTGGGATTGTTCCATCCTAAGTGCAGGACTTTGCACTTGTCCTTGCTGAATCTCATGAGATTCCTTTTGGCCCAGTCCTCCAATTTGTTTAGGTCACTCTGAATCCTAGCCATACCATCCAGTGTATCTATTACTCCCCCCAGCTTGGTGTTGTCTGTAAGCTTGCTGAGGGTGCAGTCTGTACCATCTTCCAGGTTGTTGATGAAGACAAACAAACAAAACTGGCTTCAGGACTGATTACTGAGGCACTCCACTTGATAGAGGTTGCCAATTAGGCATTGAGCCATTAATTACTCCTGTCTGAGCCTGATGCTGCTGCCAGTCTTTTCTATCCATCTCATAGTCCATTCATTCAGCCTGTACTTCCTTAGCTTGCCTGGGAGTACATTGTGGGAGACTGTATCAAAGCCTTCCTAAAATCAAGGTATAACACATCTGCTGGTCTCCCTGTGTCCACAGAGCCAGTCATCTCATAGAAGGCAGTCAGGTTGGTCAGGCTTGACTTGACCTTGGTGAAATCCATGCTGTCTGTTCCTAATTACCTTCTCATCTAAGTGCTTAGAAATGGATTTCTTGAGGGTCTGCTCCATGATTTTTCCAGGGACTGAGATGAAGCTGACTGGTCTATATTTCTCTGGATCCTTCTTTTTCCCTTTCTTAAATGTGGCCACTGTTTGCCTTTTTCCAGCCATCTAGGACCTCATGATCATGATTGGCAGCTGTTTCCTGCAAGACACCACCAAGAGGCACTGCTCGCACTTCAGGCAGCCCTCAACCACAGCTCCAAACCCAGACCTGGGTGGAAGCCTCAATGGTGAGCGGTCCTGCCTGTACAGGTGCAAGCAGTGGCAGTGGCTTTGGCATTGTGATGTCCTCCAACCATTTCCCTGGGCCTCTTGATCTGCCTTCTCTTTTTTTACTGCCCTTCTTCTAACCACACCTTCGCTAGTGAACTCACCTGGAAGCTGGCCTGTTTATTGCTCGTTGGCCCCAAAAAGTTCAAAGGTTCCTTCTTTTCCTGCTTCCTTGCATGAAGCTAAAAGGCATTCTCTCAAAGTGAAGGGGGGGAGGGTGGGCAGAGGGGATGGGAGGGAAATTGGCCTGCAAACTGCTCACACTGATTGCTGGTTCCCTGATTGCTCAGGGTGTCTCCTTTTATACCCTGCTGGGCCTGGACCAGCTCCACCCTGCTCATTAGGGCTTCTGTCAGGCCCAGGCAGCAATCACTCAGCCAGCAACACTCCCAGCTTCTTGGAGCACATGTCCCAAACATGCACAGCCCACCGAACAAACCCTCAGCAAACCAAAGGCAGCTCTGGATCACTTACCATCCCTGGGCAGGATCTGGTGCTTATCTTCTCTTCCCTTCTTGCTCCCAGCAAACTGCCTGCAAACAGTTTACCCTGTTCGCTGGCTCCCTGGTCACTGGATATTTTGATGAAGCCTTAAAAATGAAACAAACAAAAAAACTGCCAACTTTAGGCATCCTGTTGGGTGGGAGGGAAACCTGCTCTGTAGGTAGTAATTAAATATGGCATTCCTGATGCAGGATAAAGGAACCCAGATACAATGGGAAAATTGAAGCAGAGAAGTCCTTGATGTGGAAAACTGCTTGTCTAAACTCTTGCAGAGTTGCAGCACCCTTCCACCTCTTTCTGAATGTAGTGAAACCCCTGGTGAGAATTGCTGCTGGTGCTGCCTCGGCTTATGCCTGATGAACAGCTAGTCTGGGAAAGCCTATGACGTGTGCGCATTTCTGCTGCATTAGGACTGTGATTAGCCTTAAGCAGGCAGGAGCTGCTTCATGTTGTGTAGCTTTTCCTGGTCTGGCTCTTCCTGTTCTCATCCTTGAAAAAAGTGCACAGGTGGAACTGGCCCATATGCCTCTATTCCTGAGTGTGTTGGAGGGGCCCATGTATGCCAACACAAGAATGTTTGTTTATTTTTTTTATTTTTCTAACTGACAGTCTACAAACATTTTACTTTAATCAACCATTTTTTACTGTCAGTTTTAAAAAAACAGACCTTCAGTTGGCAACCCTACTTGACTGCTGCAGGGGTTTTATACCATGCTGCCCCCAAAACCTACTCCCTAGCTTTATTCCCCCCCCC